GACGCCGCCGTCCTCCGCAACGCCGGCGGACGTGTGAGGCTCTCGCTGATCGACATCATCACGCTCGACGCCCTCTTGGGCCACGGGACCCTCAAGCAGCTGCTCATCGTGCACCATACCGACTGCGGCGCGACACATTTCAAGGACGAGGACTTGAAGGCCGATACGATTGCGCGGTGCGTCCTTATGTCGTTTCGCCTATCCTTGTAGCTGTGCGAAACTGGATTCTTTCTAACCGTCATTCGTGCAACAGGCATCCGGAGAGGAGGGCGGAAATCGAGGCTTGGCCACCGATCTCGTTTCACGACAAGACGATCGCTGAAAGCGTGAAGGAGGATATTGAGGCCGCGCAGCAGAGTGAGCTGCTACCCGAGGCTCTGAAGAAGGGGGTGCGGGGATTCGTGCTCGACATCAAGACGGGTGTCGTCACTGAGGTTTGAAACATGTGAAGTATGCATGACGTGGCGCTCCCCGTGGTCTGAATGGACGCAAGATATACTCTTGTTTGCCTTTTCGCTACCATATAGTCAAACTGCATCGGCAGGCTCTGATCACCCTAAACAACAGCGATCGTTGACATTGGTGGTGGGATACTACTTGGCAGAGTTCAGCTCTATTACGGTAGCCTAAGTTTTCATGGACGAGCTCGCATCCGGATCATCCGCCAGACTTCACGATGACGGGACCATCGACCAGCTCTCGCAGACCCTTGATGGTGGTCTGCGAGATAGAGTGACCGAGTCCCGACTCTGTGGGTGAAGGAAGATTGATCTCCAAATATGAGAGACGGTTTCGGTACGGAGTTGCACGTTGCGCAAGGACCTCTCGTAGGCCAGAGCACTGGCCCCCTGAAACAGCAACCTCGAACTCCGTGGACGCCTCCTTTGAGGAGTCTGGGTTTCGCAGACGGATAATGAGCCTTGCCAGAGAAGGGCAAATGGTATTTTTCGGTCGTTTTGTTCGTTCCGACGGAATCGGTTGCAGCAGATCCAGCGTGTAATCCACGTACGGCCCGCTCACGTCGAGCTCCTCCAGCTGCGGGAATGCGTGGAAGTCTATGGGAACACCGCTCTCCTCGAGGCTGAGTACGAGACGTGTGATTCGCGCGTGATCGCGGAAGACATCGATTAAACCGTCCGGAGAGAGTGTGTACTTATCCATGCGGAGACGTTCGAGGTCGGCAGCGTAGCATCGGATGAAGTGGTAGTTTCGGTAGGAATCAGCGGTGTCAAGTCGCGCCTGTTCGATGTGCACGCAATCGACGGCTCCTACAATCGCGCGAAGCTGTGTATCATCCTCCTGTGGGAGGAGCTCGGAGAAATCAGGATCACGGAACCACGAACTGTTGACGAGATGGATGCGCAGCGTGGCCGGGAAGGGGAGCAAGATCATGAACTGGGCAATGGCCTTTGCATCATCGTTTTCAATGCGCAGGTAACGCAAAAGAGAAAATGTCACAGGGGCAAGAGCTGGTGATGAAATCTCAGCGAAATTCCATGGCATGAGTTCTAACGTCTCCAGAGCGTCATGACCCACGAAGACACTGAGCGTGCCGATCCATTCGTGGTCTGGGTATGGGTGTGTCTCGCGGTCAGGTGACATGTTCTCCCACCACTGTAGCTTCAGATGTCTGAACGGAGTGTTGGAGAAGTGCCGGAGGATATTGGGGGGACAGGTTAACCGAATGAGTGAAGGGAGATGGTCAGCGGACAACATGGAAAGCTCGCTCCATCTCATGTCCTCGTACTCTTCGTAGAACCAGACCCGATAAACGTCGTCTGGGTCAGACCATGCGTCGATGTCCTGCTCTGTCACCAATACCTGGATGCATAGGTCCCGTAGATGCGGCATTCCGCCAAGAAGCGCAGGCCATAGCCGGTCAGGTAGGTCGTCTTCGCCTACGGCCACCTGCAGCGACACAAGCCGGTCAAAGTACAAATCCAATGACTCGACGACACGAGGGGGGAATCCCCGGAAGCGAAGACTCATGCCGTGAGTGTGCGGTTTGGCGCGCGAGAGGAGGGCCTTCAAATATGGCACGGGATCATGGGTGGCATGTATTGCGTCGATCTCCTCGCTCTCCAATGCGCCTGCCCAGAATCGAGCGCTATGGAGAAGAATGTCGCGCCAACGACGGCAGACGTGGGAGAGATACAGGCCAGCGCGGTTGTCCCATCTTCGTTGGAAGATCTGCTCGAGGATTTCGGTGGGAAGTCGATGAATGGGAGTGACAGCGTTGTAGATGGAGACAAGCACGAGTGCGAGCTTGCGGTACTCGTCCACCTTGGCTGTGGTCCAAGCATGGACGTCTGATACAGAGGCAAGCCCAGCGAGGACATTCCGATCGGTGACGGGCAAGTGTTCAGCGGCCGCTGGGAAGGGGATCTTGTTCCAAAGACTCATCGCGGTTTGTCTGGCTCTGACCCGGTCTAGAGCGTGACTTGTATCAGTAGAGGCCGTGAGATGCTCGCGATATAGGATACTTGCGTTGATGTGTGGCGCTGGACACCGGCACTTGGTATATCGTGAGGGCTATGTAGGAGATCAGAGCTGCCAGCAAGTTGAACAGTGCACGGTGCACCCCACGGAGTCATCGGCCGGATACGGGCGCCAGACGTCCACAACGGTTCTGCAAGCGACCTGCGCCGCTACAAATCACAAACCACCGCAAGCGTCTTGCACCACGGACGCGGGCCGTTCAGTCTGGTCCTTGCGCAAGATCACGAAGCTGTCGTTTATGTAGGTAGTAAGACGTTGTCAGACGGCAAAAACAGCTGTAGATGTGCGTAGTGACGCAGTACACCATATCGTGTATCAAACATCATGGCGGGACCTCACCACGTAGCCTCAACTCACTCAAGACAGCCGTCCACTCCGCTTGCGCAACGTGCCGCATCTCCTTGTTGAACACCCTCCCAACCACAGCCTGCACATAAGGCCGCAGCGACACCAACTCTGGGAAAATCCACCCAAGAAAGACGCTGACGGTGCGCGCGTTCGCGCCGCCAATCATCGGTGTCGTCCAGAGCGACAGCGTCTTGAGGGGCGAGGGGCGCCGTTCTGTCCCGGCGGTGGACTGCCGATATGTATACCAGAACGCGTACGATGCGAAGGTGGCGCGAATAGCGAGGCTGAGGGTGGCCAGTTTGGGGCAGTGCTCCGAGAACGCGACCAGGCTGTCGAATGTAGGGAGGACGCAGCCGGTTGGAAGCTCGAACGCCACGCCGGGCGGGGGCGTCAGGCTGAGTTCTTCGATATTGGGTAGGCCCTCCGCTAGCGCGCGCACAAAATCGTTGTCGAGTTGGATCATGATGTCGATTTCGATGCGAACCGTTCGCAGGAGTCGAAATCTGACGAGATCGCGGAGGGCCTCGGGGCCGTTATCGAGAAATGTGTCGATGGTGACGTCTTTGTGACGTGCGAACATCTCCTTCTGGCCCTCTCCCAGGAGAAGAATGAAGTGCTCCAGTGCAGGCACCCATGTTAGGTCCGAGGTTAAAGGTGGCCGGTATAGGACGTCCAGCCATTCGGAGATGTGTTCGTCCATGCCCTTGACATCCTGAGCGTCCCACGTACAGAGTACCATGACTTTTTCAAGCGCAGGGGCGTCAAGGAGAGACAGCATCGCAGCAGAATTAGCATCTCGGCATGTTATGAGAAGGTTGCGCAGGTGAGGAAATTGCACCGGTTGGAATGATGCGCAACCCGCCGTACCGTCGACGTAGATACTCGTCAGGGTAGGGAGTGATGCGAGGTGAGCTGTTACAGAGTCCTGAAGGAGTATTGTGCTGTTGATATGGATGCTAGCGAGGTTGCCCATTCTGACCACCGCGTTCGGGATATGTGGCAGGAGGTTCCTGAACGGCGCTTGCTGAGGATTCATGGGCCCAACGTCTTGCTGCACCAAAGTCAGCCTAAACCTGAATCTATCCCAGAACCATCCAGGACATACCGAGAAGGAGAGCGTCGGTAGCACGAGTCTCCGCAGGTGAGGAGTCAACAAGAGCCTAGCGTATTGTGGGGCGACCCACGAATCTTTGAAAATCACTGAACGGAGGCTTGGGAACAGAGTATCAGGAGCACTTGCATGGTGGCTAAGATAGTCGAGTAGAGGGTTCAAGACGTAGTCCGGATGAAGGAGAGGCCTGAACCCGGTACGCAGTTCTGGTATGATTACGCCGACACATTGTATTCTGGTAACGTATGGATCTAGTTTGGTCCAATCCACGGCGTGGAGATCGCCCGTCAAGTACTGTATATGCCAATAAAGTTAGCATTGAAAGCATTGAAAGGTTCCGAGAGTACACTACCAGAGTAGCGTTTTCTTCGTATTCACCGTATACGATGAAATGACTTCTTTCTGGGAGAATCCGGCTGATCAGGACGAACAAGTCAGGGATGTGGCGCCAGAGGATGTCCAAAGCAGGTTCTTTGAACGCTCTACAAGTCTGAGCGAGAGCCGCGAGGGCGCGGATGGTACTGAGACTGCGTGAGCGTAGCAAGTCGGGAATGACCGGGTCATAGGTCAGATCCTCAAGCTCGTTGAAGATGACCCTCAATGTATCATCTATCTGTAAACACCGGTGCATCCTGGAAAGTATTGGTTCTACGCGATAGTGGAATGACCGCGATTTGAGCGTGACGGCGAAGTCGCCCGAGAGGTTGGACTCAAAGAGAGGGTTGATATGACAAGACAAGCAGATATCCGCTTCATCTAGTCGTGCAAGCCGTCCTAGGTGGGCAGAGTAAGACATCGAATGCACGGCGATAAAGTACTTATCTAGTCGTGAGAGCTGCATCACTGGGGCGGACGACAAATGGGGACAAACAACGATTGCGATTGGCCCATGTCGGCGTTAGCTTAGTATTCCAGGAGTGTCAGCGTAAGGTAAGTCATGGCATATACATACATAGAACATAGCGTAGAGCAAGATCCAGAGTCATAGTGGCACACAGCAGATACCAAAAGCAGAGTTCAGGGGCATCCAGTTGGATGGCCTGGTCACCGTTTTCGGTACTTACCCCCGCGCCTGAACGTCCCACTTCGTTAGAACCGCAGCACGCAAAGCACCAACAGAAAGCACAAGGTACTCACTCAGCTTCCTCCGCGACCATCGCCCGCTTCCTCTCGTGCATCCGCGCTGCCTCAGCATTCATCGCATCAACCTCTTGAGTGGTCGGGAATCCGATGTTCCAATACCCGGGTGGGGTCTTCGGCCGCTCCCATCCCTGTCTGTGGCGCGAGATCGCGTTCTTATGCTCCTCGATCGCAAAAGAAGAGCTCGCATCCTCGTTGTCGTCTCCAAACGATATCCGCGCTGGCTTCTTGGAGGGAGAGGACTCGGGAGACCGCCACATGGGAGGCTGGAGGCGCGCAGGGAGGGGTCCGACAGCTTCGTAGTACTGCAAGCACATACACGACCTGAGCGCCCACCTCAGGGCAACGCCAAAGGATAGAGAAGACGTACATCGCGACAGCACTCGCAATCGCCACCATGCAGCTGCTTGCGCTTCTCCCTGTCGCGCACGACCTCCTCGAACTGGAAGCCCACGCCTCCGTTGCGCTCCGGATCAACCTCGAACAGCGCGTTGATCGTCTCCTTGCCCGCTCTACACATGCTCGTTAGCCCCAATGCAACAAGGCAACTAGCAGGCGGCCACATCAACGACAACAACACGCACTGAGCCTCTGGACCATACCGCCCGCGACCTTTGTACATCGAGTAATCGGTCGGGTGCCTCTTTCCGGCCGTGCTCACGTCGGAGCTGGCAGGGACATTCTCGTCATTCTCTGTCGCACGTTCCTTGCCCTTCTTAGACGGCCGCGACATTGGCGTCTCGGGTAGTCGCGGCTTGGTATCTACTGCCGAACGCGACGACGGACCGAAAGGGTCTGAGAGCGTAGGCGAAGAAGGCGGAGGCATTTGAGCCGAAATCGCGTGTTTGCGCTTCAACTTGCCTGCCAGAGGACGTGCGATGGACATCGGCGTCTGAAGCTGCTGAGCTTGCTGAGCGGGTGGGTCCGGTTTGGCAGTCTTCTCGGCGACTTGGGCTGGGGTGAGGGGGGTGATCTGGGAAGGGTATAGGAACGTCGCAACTGGTTGCAAGTATGCGCGCATCGTAAGTTCATGTCATGCAAAGGATATGACGCTGACCACCTTGTGACTCTACTTCAGTCTCGGACGAACCGCGATCTTGCACAGGGGAGCACGGACGTTTCTGAGGGATCGTGGACGGAGCCGGAGAGGATAACCCCGCTACATCCAGTTGAGAGGGGTACAGGTAAGCGATAGCTGGGCAAATCTCAGTATGTTTGGTAGGACCTCGAGAACGATTGACATACGTTGTGAATCAGGCTCTGTATCAGAGGAGCTCGGCGTGTTCTCCTTCTCTTTAGAGACGACCATAGGTGAGCTCTGCTTCACATGCTCAAGGGGTACAGGAGGAACACCCCCCGACTTCGAAGGAAACGCATTGCCGGATGATGATGCAGATGACGAGGAGTTCAAGTCCCTCGAAGTGAGCACCGCGGGCTCGACAGCAGGGGGAAACGGTCCTTCATAGGCAATGTTCAAGACGAGTGTGAACCTTCAAGTGATGAGAACTTACCAAGAGTCGGTATCCTCGATGATACTTCGGAGCGGAAACGCGGATTCGAGGCCACGCGCCCCTGTAATCTCTTGTGCTTCGTCTTGCGCCCCCCCTTGGCCGCAATGCTGCCCTTCTCATCTTTGTCTTCAGGATGATTCAGCTTTCTGCGCTTAGCGGCGCTCTCATCGCGCTCTGCCTTCTGGATCTCTGCGTCCAGCCATTGTTTGAACTCCTTCCACCGCTTGTAGTCCTCCGCGTGCTTGTCGTCCGCCACTTGCTTGGCCTTGTGAAGAGCGGCATATTTGGCTTTGAGGGCAGCATGTTCCGCCAAGACGTACGCGAGCTCGCCCGTGTCGAAGGAGGACAAACGAGCTCCGCTGGAGTCGTCGTCCTCTGCCTTCTGCACGCCTTGCCCCACCTGCACCTCGAGCTTGCCCGCCACGCTCGCACTTGCCTTGGCCAACTCCTCCCTGAACTTCTCGTTCTCCCCCCTCAGCTCCGTTATCGCGTTCAGGGCGTCGCCCAAGACACTGAGTGTCGACTTGCTGAGCTGAATATGGCTCGTCAACTCCGACTGTAACTCTTGAACGTGAGAGGCAAGCTCCTCGGACGGATACTGGCCAAGCTGTTCAAGCTGGCTCTGCTGCGTCTCCGACGCGTCCACTCCGACTTGAGTGGCGAGAGCAGCCTCGGCCTGACTGAGGTCTTGGTAGCCTAGCTTGGCAGCAAGGCGATGGCCGCGCTGGTTCGCCGTGAAGACCTGCTTGTTGAGGTCGTCGTTCATCCATCGAAGTCTGTTGATCTGAGTGTACTTCGTTGAGCGCCGGTAGGAACGGGGATGGGCATACAAGTGTCTTGCCTTGTTCTCCAGGAACTGGATCTGTTTGCTCTCTGGACGAGCAGTATCCTTGTCGGGTGCTAGCTTCTGCATCTCCACAGCATATAGAGAAAATTGGCCTGATACCCAGGCTTGGGCTTCGCAGTGTGGAAGACGGTGGATGTGGAGGAGGGGAGAAAGGGCTGAGAAGCGACGCGGGAGTTGGACGCGCGCGATCTACGACGCGCACTCACGTGATCGTAAAGCCCCATTCAACGACAAAGGGACTCTTGCAGTTGCTACACGCAATGCATCGTGTGCATAAGAGGATAGCAAAGATTATCAAGATATGATACTATAGTACACGGGAGACAAAACGAATACACCGAGTGTCCAGCAAACAAGCATACATCATGGGAAACATCATAGCGCGGTTCCGCGCTCGAAACTAGCGCGAATTTCCGCAGTGTACTTGTCGTAATACCGCGCAATCTATGGAGGTACAAGTTCGGGTCAATGAACAGTGTGTTCGTGTGAGAGCCACCTTACCTTTTTGTTGAATACACGATTGCGCTCATTGATGTAGGTGATGTCTCCCTCGTCCTCGTTGTGCCGCTTCCTCGAGAACTTGCTCTTCTTGTCGACACTAAACGAGGGTATCAGTAATTCAAAGTTGTTGTACATAGACTGCTCACGTACTCTTTGTTGATCTTGCTGATGACACGGTCAATCGCGTCTTCACTTGGCTTGTTATCAGCATATAGTAAGCTGTTCGCGTCTCGGTAGAGATTTTCAGCGGCGAGCTGTTGCTGAAGGCTCGTGGGTCCTGTCTGAATCAAGCGTGGTCAGCACTTGCGATAGGGCCATTATATGCATACATGAGGACATACCATAACACCACTTGACGGGTCAAAGGCGGTGACAGCTGACGAGCCACTCGCTTGCCCTTGTTTTGTCAACGTTCCAGCAGCTAAACCAAGTGCGATCTCCTTTTGCCTGTTGTAACTCTCGAGGTCAGGCTTGAGGTGATCCAAGTCCTTCTTGTACTTTCGCCTCGCAGCATCCGCATCATCTAGAGTACGCGTACAGTTGTCAACACCCTCGTTGTTAACAGACCACTCGCATAGCAGGATGTCCAGCGCATTATAGGGCATAGGACGTACCATTGAACGAGAAATCCGCGCGCCTCGCCTTCTTCGCCAGCTTCTTCTCCCATTCATCGTTCTCCTCGATTGTGTACTCCCAATTCTTCTGCCGCTCCATGTCCTCACCCCGCTCTTCCGCATCCGCCTTCTGCCTCAAGGTCTCCGCAAGCTTGCGCTGCCTCTCTAACCGCGCCGCCTCGCGAGCTGTCATTTTCGCCTTTGCACTCTCTTCGATGACGGATGCGCGGTTGGCTTTTGCTGACGACCTCTAGAAACAAGTAGACCAAGATCAGAATATAGCCTATGCAATGGTCAGAGGGTAAAATTCGTAACGTACCATTTTCTTCCGCAGTTCCTCCAGCTTCTTCTTTCGCGCAGCCATGGCGTCGGCGTCGCCATCCTCAGCTCCTTCTGCACCACCCTCCTGCTCGTCCTCATGCGTCGGGTTCATCTCGTCCACGAAGTCCTCCGCGGCATCAACGAGCTTATTGAGCATCTCTCCGGCCTTCTCCGCAGTGCCGGTCAGTCCAGAAGACATTTGTATAGGAGTATGTTCTTGATGACTACGAGCAAGAAGACGATTGGTGGAGACGAGGCAAGTCGTGGTCTACTGGCGCGCACTGCAGCATAGCGGCGGATGGATGCGTCGGCGCCCCAACGCCGTTACGTAATTTGTCTGGTTTGGCCCGATTGGGTAAGTCAAAAGGTTTGTCGCCGCCGGAGGCTACTACACTCCTTCGACCGCCACTACTCCTACTCCTGCATGTTACTCTCTTTGCTCAGAACTACGTGACTTGAAGTATTATCCAAGCTGCTTGCTACGCGCCTGCAGCCCAGAGCTTAGATTAAATAAGCTAACAGCACGCAATCGGTTCATCTGAGGTCTCTCTTTGGACCTTCTAGCTGTCACACCAACACAACATTAGCTTTGGACTTCTACGCTCCTTCACCTATTCTTACACTCGATGATAACCTCTAGCTTCTACGGTGGGCCCTGTATGGACGGAAGAGTGTCGCCTGAACCGGTGTCCACGCTCAGATCCCGAGCTACAACAAACTATCTTGCTTCCTTTCATTCCGACGATTTCTGCTGCATCAAAACCGGCATCACTTCTCCAGACCAGCCTTACGTGACATCTGATGTGTCCGGCGGAAATGGGCCCAGCTACTTGGGAGCCTTCAGACCCTCCTCTTCGCTCCCTGGGTTCACATTCTCTGACCCATCCGACAACTCCCGCGCTCCAGTCTCTGGCAATGGTGCTAACTGCTCGCTCAAGTTTCCTCCGGGTTTATGGTCAGAAGCTGGCAGTGCCTTGGTGAACGCCGAGTCCCTAGCCCAGTGCAATTTTCTCGACCTCTCAGAGTCCTTCTCCTCGTTGTCTGCCGGACCATCTTCACAGCTTGCGGCTCCGCAGTTTTCTCTATCTTCCTTGCCGCCATCTGGATCTGGCACATCTGTGCAATCAGAGGCTCTCCCTCATCAATATTTTCTGTCTAATCTGAAGTTCCTGGGAACTCTGGGCCGCGGCGGTTATGGCAAAGTCCTCTTGGCCGAATCATCTCGCTCGGGCAACCACTCCTCGCGGGTCGCGGTCAAGGTGCTTACCAAGAGATGGATGAGTATAGATGATGTGCGCGAAGTCAAGACGGAGGTACAGATACTCGAAGCCCTCAGTCGGAGGAACGGGCCCGGAAGCGCGTTCTTGCAAAGGATCCACGCTGCATTCCAGACGAAGGAGCATGTGTTTATTGTCATGGTACGTCATATGATCGGTGTCCACTACAGCCCAGTCTGATTATATGCGCCTCGTTCAGGAACGTCTGTGTACAACTCTGTCCGACATCGCTATCCAACGCCAATTCAGCCTTCGTCCTCAAGGTTCATCAGCTACCCTTGGTCCCAGGACGCTCCCCAACTCGGTCTCCCTGCCGGCTACCTTTCCATCGACTTTGCCTTACAGCGACGCTCTCGGTTCCCTCCGCCTACTCTCAGCAGAACTCATCCTCGGCTTGCTTTTTCTACATGGGCAAGGCATAGTCCATCAAGACGTCAAGCCTGCCAACGTTCTCGTTTCCGCCGACGGCCACGCCGTGATCACCGATTTCGGTTCGGCTCGGCTACGGCCTCTCTCTGCGCCTTCTCGGACCAGCTATGCAGAGTGCTTCGACGACGCTCCAGACTTCTCCAGCAACTCCGCTTGGGAGGATGCGCCGCCCCGTGCAACCGCGTATTTTGGGCCGATCATCTTGAGCGCGAACGACCAGGTATCGTTCACCAGGCGATATGCTGCACCGGAGTTGTTATATGCGCCGGTCTGGATGAGCGGACGGAACGTCTTGGTGTACGATGAGCGTGTGGACTACTACAGCTTGGGGGTCATGCTGCACGAGCTCGCTCTAGGCGACCCTTATGATTCTTGTAACAGCCAAGATCGTTGGGAGCGGGCGAGCGATGGGCCTTCGAGGTCGACTACGCTGAGCGTCGATGCGGCATTTCTGTCTTTCATTGACGGGGTATGTCCCAGCTTTGCACCTCAGACGACGAGACATTGACCGCAGACGTCTCGGCCTATACGCTGTAGCTGCTCGCCTACGACGCTGATCAACGTCTCCATGGTCTCTCTGTCAAGACGCATGACTTTCTGGCGCCTTTCGGTGAGGCCTGGGATGACATCGCAGCTCTGAGATATCCTCCGTTTGTCGACGTCTTCTGGCCTGATCCTGACCCAGACACTCGACTTGATCTGCGTTCATACGACGAGGGAAGTCCCAGCAGTTCAGAAAAGGGTTGCGTAGCGAACACCTGGTCCGCGGAATTGGCCGACATCCCGTACGATGTTGGACATCCTCCTTCACCGTCCGTGCAACAGCAACCACAGCCCATCAGCTCCGAAACAACCGTAGAGGGCATACCTCAGCCTACCACCCTCCCTTCTCAGGAGTGTCTGTCGTTCCTTCCAAGCATTCCTACCCTCGACTCTTCTATTCTAGACAAGTTTCCCATCATACAGTTGAAACCCTTCCAGCTCCCACACGTCCAACTGGCAGTACCCAAGCGCAAAGCAACTCCGCTGCGTCGTCGCCAAGTCATCTACGACCTGCGCAAGGCGTTCCAGTTCACTTACACCGTTGAGCACCCCACGCGCTCTACTTGCGTAGCCGGTCGCCCGACAACTCCCTGCGGCAGCGCGGTTGCGGTTTGCGAGAAGCAGCTTGGGACTTGCACGCCGCTGCGGAGACGGGAGTCTGGCGAGCGACGAATGACAATGTCGGCATCTTGGAGCTTTGAGGACGAGATCACGATCGCGCTGCTGTCGACCATGGACTCTAGGAATGGACCTGCCGGCCTGCATGCTTCTAAGACTGGTCGGTCGGTTGCTTCTGGAGGTACGACGCATGCCGCACGCCGTGGGGGCGCTCCGGCTACGGTCGGTCTGCCTCAGCTTGACATTGACTCGACCTTCCGGGCAAGAGGGCGGGCTATTTTGCGCAGGCTGAAGGCGCTGATGCCTTACTATTAGGGGACCATCTGTTCGCGCTGTCGTCGGCACCTGTCGTCACTGTGTTTGATCCTTCCATGTTGTGTGTTCCGTACTCGATTTGTCTATTGGGTATGCATCCGTACTTGTTTTGCGGGCACCTATGTTTGCGTATATCAAGTATTTTTATACAGCATGCAGCTCGGGATCGGCAGAATGGTGAACGGAAGCGAGAAGCTATATTAGGCCATGGGCGGGGGCCGAGATTGAGCTTGACACCGCACTGAGAGAGCGCGCCAGGAACGGGAAATTGAAGCTCCGCGGGAAAGACGTGCTTCTACAAAATCGGTTGTCAAGCCGCCTCCGCTGTCTTACAGTCCCCCGACGTCTCGCATTTTCAGCAGCCCTCCGGCTTTCGTCTTCCTCTCCTCTCTACACCGTCGTCGCTTTTCAGCGCACCATACACTCTCTTATCCAGTCCACTCCTTCTACATCAAATACACTAAAGATGTTCTCCACCGCCCTCCTCGTCCTCGCCGCCGCGGTTTCTCCCGCGCTCGCGACCATCTACGTAAGTCTGCTCCACCTCTATGATCTCCCGCGTATGCGAGCTAAAACTCTATCTCTGTAGGTAACCTCGCCCACCGCTTCGTCCCAGTGGACCGCTGGCCAGCAGCAGACCATTTCCTGGCAGGATGACGGCCAGTCGCCTTCGCTGGCCAACTTCGGTCCCTCCAAGGTCTCCGTCTACGTCGGCAACCAGATCCAGCAGGTGAGCTTGTCTAATTCACTGTTTCGAAAGTTGGTCGCGTCGCTGGTCGGGCGGTCGGGGGCTTGTGTTATGGAAGTGGGGCGCTGGTAGAGTGAAGGGGGCGGGGGGGTGAACATGCGCGCTCCGCCATCGGTGCAATGCATGTCGTCAGATTGACAGATCGCCTGATTTCGCATCTTGTGCGGATCTCTTCCGCTGCCTCACCTAGCTTTGCAACGGGGATGCGACTGGACTCTACTACGATTCAACCCTACAGCCGTTCAACAGACACGATTGGAGCTCATTGCAGATGTGCGGCATCGTCCGCACCGACTCTCTTCGAGTCCGGCTTCTATACAGTTATGGTGCCGCGGCTTGAGCTGTGGCTATTGTCATGGCCTGTAGCGGATGGCTACGGCTGTTTACACTGCGTCATCCGCTACCTTCCATGCAGCGGTGTACTGACGCATGTCTTATAGACCCCGGTCCAGGTGATCACTCAGTCGGTCGACGTGTCCACCACCAGCTCGATCGTTTTCACTCCTGATGCGAGCACTGGCCAGAACGGCCAGTACTAGTCAGTCACACTTTGCGTCTGCGTCTTTGGATCCGTCTCATGGTCATGTGCAGCTTCATCCGCTTCGAGTCCCTTGGCCTCAAGGACGCTACCAATGCCGCCTTCCCCGCGCTTGCGTTTTCCTCCAAGTACACGTGAGTACTTGCTGCTCACACGTCCGGTGCGATCACCAACTGACCGGTTCATAGTATGTCGGGCATGACTGGCACCTTCACTGCTGAAGAGCTGGCCCAGATCTCTGCTGCTGTTTCCTCCGGTGCCGCGGCGACCACTAGCGCGGCTGCCTCCAGCGCCACCCCCGCGGGGACCACCACTACGTCCGCAACCGCGTCCAAGATCACCACCAGCAAGGCTGTCTCTGGTACCTCTTCCGCTGCATCCAGCACTGCCTCCACCAGCAAGAGTAACGGCGCATCAACTCTGCCTCTCAGCGCGCTCACTGGCGTCGCGGGTGTTGCTGTCGCCATATTCGCCGCTATGTATATGTAAGCGTGCGTGATGATCGGTGGACATCTTGGTTGGCACGCACATCGCGTCTCCCCTCTATACTCGATTTACGGTAGTTGAGACCCTCTGAAACAGCCGTCGGGCTCCTACGTCGACAGCTCTCTATTCCCACTCCTCTCCTCACACTATCTCGGTACCCAGCCTTCTACTTCACTTCTGGTCTATCTCAAATCAATTCTTGTTTCTCTCGCTCCGCTTCGAATTGGCTCCAACAGGAGAGATACAGGATCGTGTGTTCGACCGACTACTCCCGGTCCTCTCGCCTCGCTCGCTCCGTCCTTCGTCGGCTGCCGCACCTATCACTCGATCGTCTAAACCTCCCCGATCGCTCATGACCATTGCACGAACCCCCTCACGCACGAGACGTACAATGTATAGGTATATATGGCGTAGCATAGCATAGCTTTGGCTGAGGACCTTGGCTTTCGTTCTTTAATGCACGTATGCTGTTCTCTGACACTTCGTCGTGTGGCTTGTGCCACAACCGCTTCCGACTCCTGCGGTCGTCGTTCATGGATGTCGTCCGGTGCCTCAAACTGTCGTTGCATAACGCCCTCTGTACGAATAAGAATGAAGATGCGCTAACGAAGATATGCGTGCCACTCGCTGAGCTCGCCTTTGTTGGGGTGCGTCCGACGCTAACAGGGCTTTTGCCATTTGGGATGTAACGACATCGCAAATTCGTTCACTTAGGTATATATATGTAGCACAGCAGAGAAGACTCTTCGTACCATTCGGGTACGACGAAACGCGCTCACCGTCTCCTCATCTACTTTTCCTGCCCCGAGCTCCCCGAGCACCCCCGTCCGACCAAGCGGCGAGCGACCTCGTCATGAAAGGCTCCAAGCATGACAGGCAACGCCGCAACAATGTCGCGATGAGCAAGATACATCTCTTCCTTTTGACCCGCGGCTCTATCGTCCTCGTGGGCGGGTGCTGTCGACGAGGCAGAGTTGACGCGGAATTGCAGTCGGACGAGGGTCATTACTTACGGCGAAGGAAGGTTCAGCTGAGGACATGTCTGCTAGCTTATCTCCCATGCATCTATTCGTATGGTGTGCATGGGTGCACCATCGTCAAACTGCTGGAGGTGTTGATATTTTGGTATGGGCAAAAAGAAGAACTGAACAACTCTGCAGTGCATTAAGGGGGAATCGAACCCCCGGCGGGTCGATGGCAACGACCCAGGTTACCACTACCCCATTAATGCCCTCTTACGACTTCCTTATGCAAATTGGGAGTCCGAGTAACGATCACTGAGGCTCGCTCCGGCAACGAACAAGGCACCGTCAGACTGGATAACGAGAGGCTTCGCGGCAATAACGTTTGAACAATCCATTATTACTGGGCATGGAGACGTAAGTTTTCCCTGGCTCTACTCAACGCCAGACGGATGGCACAGAAGCTCCTGAAGGACAGTGTTGTAACATCAAGAAGGTAAGATCTCATCCACGACACTTGCCATTCGCGTCATCCAGCCTTTCTTCAAGGTCCGGCCCCGTTCGGGCGTCACATGTTAACCGCTGAAACATATCTCGTAGAAGCCTCGGAGGCCAAGCCATAGCCAAGCTTTCCTTTCGCCAATGAACTCGTCAAGCCACTGTCCGCCGCTGTCTAGCATAACAACAAGCACAACATAGGCCAAAAGCCCACCGTAGACCAGGACCGAAGCCTGCAGGCTGAGGGCGGACGCCCATGCCCTTCAAATCGCAATCTGCCCTGATCGTGCAGGCGGAGGTAGACAACATGAGCGGCGACGCCTCCCCGCACACCTCAGCGCACACTATAAATTTGACCTCTCCCTATTGCTCAGGGCTGTCCCCCGCATCGGCCCCTGTTCCTCCGCAGACGGTGCTCGTGTCCGTTGCACGCTAGAAAACCGTCTTTTCCGCGTTTCCCTTTCATTGTATCTGCGTGCCGTGTCCTCGCTCCGACACATCCCGTCCGACTGCACGGAACGACCTGCCGCTCATTTACTGCCGCTTCTCAGCTTCGTGCACGACAAGACTACTGGTTTATTAGGCTCAGACTTCCTGCTCCACAATGTACTCAAGCATATCTCTACTAGCAGCTGCTGCGTCCCTTCTGACGCTGAGCGCTCCCGTACTCTCCTTTACAAGCTATGCAAACGATTTTATCGACCCGAAGCTCATCCTATCGAAGGACTTCTCCAATGTCACTGTCGATGCCCAGGCTACCATCCTGGCATGGGCGGATGAATTGGCGGCTGAGGGTCCATGGTGTATGTCCCTTGTCTTGAATCTGTGGAAGGTCACCGCATCTAACCCCCGTGCATAGCTGTCATGAACAAGACATACGCCGCACCTAGTGGCAACAAGCACGACTACATGAGTTGGGCCCCATAGTTCGTGGGACCTTCGTCCATACCCTTCAACAAGGTCAACTGATATCTGACAATAGTTGGTGGCCCGACTGCTCGAAGGTCGGAAACACGACGGAGCTCACTCCCCAACAAAGTAAGTATCCATGCCGATGAGCCGTGCACGCCGCCCGCGGCTTCTAAGACACGAACTTTCTTCCACCGCTTGTCACTGCCCTTCTTCTCTGGTCGCCGCCTACACGCAGTCTGGGTGACCTGTCCCTACGTCGTCAAGGACGGCCAGTTCAACCCCGACGGCCGCACGGTGGACGACGTCGGCGAGTTCGACGACATAGCGAACGCGATCCTCTACAACGCCCTCGCGTGGGCGCTGACCGGCACGTCCGAGTACTCCTCGCGCGTCGCGCAGTACGTCTCGGTGTGGTTCCTCGACGGCGACACGGCGATGACCCCGAACCTCAACTACGGGCAGATGCAGCGTGGGCCAACCGGGCAGAACGGCACGCACACGGGCATCCTGTACGTGGGATCGGTTTCCCGTCCTTATCGGACTTGCGTCCTTGGGATTTGTCCGATATCTCTGGGCGTGGCGCACAGCGCCGTGAATGAGACACGAGATGGCTGAGCTGACACGGATGATCGCAGCGATCTCAAGTGCATGGCGAAGGTCGTGTCTGGAGTACTGCTCCTCCGTGAGGGGAAAGCGGCCGAGTGGACGTCCGATATCGATGCGGGGCTGACGAACTGGACGACCTCGTACATCCAGTGGCTAACGGGTGCCGGCATCGCCCTCGAAGAGAAGGCTGCCCCAAAGTGAGCATCTTTCTTGATGCTGTCTCTAGCATTGATCAGCTCTGACGTCACTTCATCTATGCTATCTTCCTGGCCTCGCTTGCGACTCTTCGCGCGCGCGCAGCAACCACGGCACGTTCTACTACAATCAGCTCGCTGCGCTTCAGATCCTCGTGGGCGACACAACGGGCGCGAACCAGACGTTGCACGAGTACTTCACGACGCAGTATCAGTGGCAAATCGCTGCCAATGGCGACCAGGTCCGTCGCGATCTGCGTAGCGTTCCTTGCTAGCGCGCTGACGGCACCCCCGACACGCTTCCTGCGTAACATTTGAATGCACTGCACAGCCTCTAGAGACGGCGCGCACGCGGCCCTACCACTACCGCGCATACAATCTTGCGGCTATGATCGTGCGTGCCTTCCATTTGTCCTTCCGCTGTCCATCCCTGCCTAACGCTAGTCTACTCCTTGCACATGCCCTGTAGACAAACGCCAAGCTCGGAGAGTACCTCGGCTACTCCGTCTGGAACCTCACCACCGGTAAGGGCACAACAATCAAGGACGCGCTCGACTACGCCATCACGCTCTCACCCGGGAACGAGACCGCGGACGAGCTCTGGCCCAACGTCGTTGCCGTAGGCGCGGTGTATGGCGATCCCGACGGCTCGCTCTCAAACTACATGTCCCAGCACGCTGGATCCTCATACCCCTCCGACGCGCAGTTCCTGTGGAACCAGCCGTTCTCAGACTCGGGCTTCGTCGCGGCCAGCAAGAACGCCTCCCGACAACGCTGGTGCTGCCCAGCACAGTGGTACTGGTAATGGCGCTGCTCGGCTTTGTCGAGGAGTTTGGGAAACGTTCGCGATGGGCTTTCCTGGCGCCATCCTCACACTGCTGCTTGCAGCTTAAGTGCACGTTCATTGATTTTGGGCATCGGGTTTAGTTGTTGTGGATCGTATGGACCCTTCACCCACTCTCGTCTACATTAGGAGCCGCATAAATCCCGCTTGGCTTATCTGGAAGCGCCTAGTCGACGCCCTTGCGTGGTCGTCTACCGGGGATATTAATCGCAATGTTTTGTGGCCGTGATCAGGGACATACTGGACCGAGTTGGGCACTACGTACGTTGTATCCCCGCATAATGTTTTGCATATAACCAAAGTGTACACCGCATATATTTACCCATTTGCCTGGAAGTATATGCACCCGAATATATTTCCTCCGTGTATCTCACAAAGTCAAGAGGTGTCGTACATTGTTCACCATCCAGATCGTCAAACCTTCCCAATATCCAAGGGTAGAAAGCAGGGAGACGATACCAATATACCACTCATCCCTTCACTGGCTGAAGTTCTCGATGCCGTTGAAGTTCGTGATTGGTCCGGCAGAGCCTCCCGTCACTTTCAGCGCGGACCAGTCCCAGGTGCCTGTGATCAGTCCGGTCAGCACTAGTTAGCACGACCGTCGTTGGTGATGCACTCACCGGTGCAGGATCCGACACCGCAGTTAACGGCTACACGTTGAGCATCGCTGTTCACGCTGAGGCTGTTGGTGCTGCCGACGAAGTTGACGCCCTGAAAGAAGGATGACCATAGGTCAGCGAACGACAGGATACTACGAGGTCAAGAGCGCGCACCGAAAGCTTCACTCCGGTACCGGGAGTACCGAGGGTGTCCGGGTAGCTCTGCAGAGGATGCAATTCAGCGCGTCTCCCATTTGGCTTGTCAGTGAACGGCCGGAAATACCTGGTCGATGAGGACACCGAACTGACGAAGACCAGTTCCTGTGTTACCCGAGTAGGTGATGTTGGTTACGGTCGAGCCCGTCGCGGACGCATCAGTCTTGATACGGAGTGCTTGGTCGCTGAATCGCCCGACGGGGATTGTCAGAAAGACAGATGCGTAAAGCATGAATTTGACGATGAGGTACCCACTTGTCCTGGATGACGTTGTTCTGGATGGTGATCCCGGAGACAGTGACACTCGAGCTGATTGAGCCCTAGTCCATGTTGGTCAGAAGGCGTGCACAGTGTCACGGGTGCAACTTGACATACTACTGAAATGCCGTGTCCTCCAATGCAGGTGTTGCCCTGAAAGACGATGTTGCTACCCTTGTTGATCGCAAGGCAGTCGTCCTGGTTATGAATCGTGCTGCATTGCGCCAATGAGGTTCAGGGGAGAGGTACGAGGGAGAGCGGCCCACCTGTTCTCGATGACCAGGTCCGTTGTGCTGACATCAAACCCGTCCGTGTTGTGGCCTGCGGCCTTTCCATCACTCTTCGAGTTAGGCGCGTCTCCAGCGGCTGGCAATCCGAAGGAGAACTTGTGAGTAACGCAATGCAGCGCACAGAGGGCGGACGTAAAGATGCGTCCAGACACGCACAGTCGTCGATCGTCAAGGAAGACATTGTCAACGCGGCAGGGTTCGAGACGCTGTACACGCGTGCTGGAGAGTTTAGGACCTTGACGTTCTGCATTTGCACCCGCACAGATCAGCAGGAGTCTAATGTCAAATCAATTCGAGAATGCAGGGAAGCACTTACGGAATAGGTACCGGATATTTTGATCCTATGCAAGAATAGGTGAACTCTATCAGTCATACTTTTCAAGAATAAACAGATGCGTACTTCATCATGGGCGCAGGCTTGGTGACGCCTCCGTTGCCACCCTGTCCGTCCTGTAGACGTATATCGCGTGTTAAATGGCGCACATAGCCGACAAACGGGAGGCACGAACCCAGTAGTCAGGGCCGTTTCCATCAAAGGTGTGGCCATTGCCGTTGACTGCACGCGTTCGTCATTATAATAGCCTTACGGGTATGCCGGGGTTCTCATTCGGAAGGACCTACAGGTGATGTCTTTGCCGCTGTGACCACATTCAGCATTCGATACCCATGCAGTGGTATGACGTAAAAGGTCGCCGAAAGTTACCTACCTAACTTGGAAGAGGGGTCCGTCCCACTCCTTGAAGGCGAAGGTCACGTCGCCCTCTGCGCACCAGGAATAGCATAACACGTTAGCGTTCGTTCACACCCGTACTTGCCATTTGCACTCGATCTGCAGCCAGTACAGCCGCGGGGACTGTGCATCGGAGCAAGGGCAAAGGGGCGGAGGGGCAGAGAACAGAGGGCCAAGAACATGCTGACGCACCCATGTTGACAGTGGTACCGTCCGCGAGCTCGAGGTTGAACGTCTCGCCAGCAGGGACCGTGAACGAGTTGATGACCACGGTGGTGCACTTGACCGCATCGTCAACGTCGTCGAGCGAGGCAATCGTTCCCGTGCAGTTGCTAGCAGTGGGGGCAGCCACGATGGCACGCGCCAATGCAAGAAGTGCGGCAAGGCGGAGGACAGAGGACATCTTGTCACCGTGGATGCACTGGATAATCGGAGAGGCGAGGACTTAGGCGAAGTGGAGCACGTCGTTAGCGTAGCTTGAGACCCCCTCTTATATGTGAAGACTCCTCGGATAAATACAGGAGCGAAGAGAACAAATGACGCAACATAGCGGGCCTGTCAGAGCCGTAGGCTCGCTTTCCATCTCTTGCTCCAGCTTTCATGAGTCTTCTGGTACAGACAGCACATGTACAACCGCATCCGCGGTGGGAAGGACGCGGGGAAAAACAGAAGCACGACGCCATGTACTTGTCCTCTGCGGGAACTAGCGGTCTGTGAATAGTGTTGCCCCACATGGCTGACCACATTTCGGCTACCTCACGCGCCGGTAGCTTCACCGAGGGGTCCAGTGCAACGAGGTCCGAAATTTTTAAGCTCAGAGGTTCCACGACTATGGAGATGGAATGACAACGCTCACCTGCTGAACCAGATGAACTAGTACTGTTGAGGTTCAACCGAGCTTACACCCGCACTGTCAGGAGGATGATAGATTAGCAACAACTTGCAGCTCCAGGAAAATATCCAGAGCGATCACCGCAGGGACATGGAAGGTGATGGCTCTGAGTATAGTGATGGCAGAATCTGCCTTATGATTGGCTGCAAATGCAAATGATCCTGGGCATGACTTCAGTGCAGTAACTATAGCTGCCGCGGGTAATAACATGTCCGTCTTGACTACCCGCCGCTCCGCAGCACAGGTGACCTGATATGCGCTGTTAGCGTGTTGTCGGAATCCCAGGCCAGAACACATTGCAATGCGGTGAGCAGTCATACGCTATCGTAGGTCTGCGTCTGAAGTGATTCACTTTGGTGATGTAGCACGGAATCGGACTAATGAGTCTTCAAAGCGTCTGCAAACCTGCCGTCTGTCCAGCGAACTCGACTCCTGCCTTTTCGTATAGTACAAGGCGTTTAGGCTCACCTATAAATGCGCGGCGGGCCGGGAAACGGTCCGTCTGCAGGAGAAGCAGCAACAACCTCCGAGGTTCTTGCAAGTCCTCCTCACGTTACCTCTTTCTCGGCTACTCTTGTCCAAAGATTCTGGACATCCTGGACGAAGCCGCATGTTCCCTGGTGAAGTGAGCAACCGTGTTCCAACATGTGTATTTACAGCCGGCCCACTCCAGGAGCGACTGCGCTCTCAGAGCGAAACCGAGGATTAAACCGCACGCGAACAAGGGCCGGTCCGCAAAGGTCCGCTAGGCAACACCGTGATACGCTGGAACGGAAAGAGTGGCGGAGCGGCGAGACTTCTCTGCGAAAGGTCGGAACAATCAGCTGTTGGAGCTATCTGAAGTGCAACAGAAGGGACAAAAAACTCACTGAAGTGTCGCCCAAAATCGACAATATTGACACGTTCGTCACACGAAGACAAGACAGTGAAAGTCTATTCCTAGGTATCTGACACTAAAGATACACGTGGGGATGGAGCATCCAGACGGGTCGGCGTAGACACGGAGGAGCAAAGGGAAGCATAGGCAGTGACCGTAAGGTAAGCAAATAGCTGAGCGAATGTAATGTACACGAATCCAAAGATGGGGTAGAGCGCGACCGACGTGCACTGGTCGCAATCGCGAACTTATTGAATCAAGAAAGCCGTGAACGTCCGCTTCCAGTACATGCAGGACGTCTGAGAAACCGAAAGGGAAGAGTAGTGGGTGGATAACGCCATGAAATCCTTTCAGGGACACCGCAAAGCAGAAAAAGAGGCGGATGATCGAAAAGCCAGGCGGTGCGCAGCAGGTAAAGCAAGGAGATGGGAAGACATGATCGTGCATGAGAGGAAGACATAGATGTGTGAGAGGTGGTGGGCGACGAACGGGAGAGGCGAGGCAGGATGGAGACTGAGACGCAAGATACCACAACCGCAGATCTGCAGCGAAGGCCAGAGACACAACAAGCGGACGAGAGATAAATGAATAAGGATAAATACCACGAAGAGGCGCACAAGATGCCTCGATCAGAGTCCAAGTCCCCTTCCTCACGTTGCCCACCCAGGGTTGAACTCGTACTTGGCCCAAGCAGGGTCGCCCTGCTGCGCCCACCCCTGTATGTGCGCAGGCATCGGAGTCATAGTCTGCTGCTGCTGATGGTGCGCATGGTGTTGATGCTGGTGCTGGTGCTGGGGATGCTGCTGCGCCTGCTGGTACTCAATCTGCCGCGGGGGCGCATGCTGAGCACCGCCAACATACGCGTGTGAGATAGTCGTCATCGACGGCGCAATGCTGCCCGTCCCCGCGTTCGTAGCGTCCACGGGCGGCGGGGGCATCATCCCCATCATCCCGTGGCCCTCGTAGCCGTTGGTTGTAGACTGTGGCTGAGACGGGTACGGCATGTAGTACCCGTTCGGTGGCTGGGAGGGCGTAGCCGGGTACGCGCTCACAGGGCTTTGCACGTACTGCACCTGTGGTTGGGGGTCGTATATCGTCGCCGCGGACTGGGGCGAGTCATAGCTCGACTGCGCGGCGCTGTACCGTCTGTCGTCCACGACGCTCTCGTCGGGGCTGCTGTACTGCATGGCGTAATCGTCTTGCACCTGCTGCTGTTGGGGCTGCTGTTGCTGCTGCTGAGCTTGCGTGGGATCAGGAGCCGACGAGGAGTATGGATGGTATTGGACGGAACCATCCATAGGCGACTGCGGGACGGATATCGACGCACGATGTGCAGGCTGCGCCTGCGCCGGGGTAGGCGGCGGCAAGGCGGTCGCATTCGGAGGGTTAGTCGTGAGTGGCGAAGGGGCAGCACGCGGGGCAGGGGCGGGGGCAGGCGGGGGAGGTGCGGGCTGAACAGGTGCGGGTGCGGGGGTAGAAGCAGTAACAGACACGGACGCAGTACGCTGTCTCCTCGGCCCAGGTTGACCAGTCATGGGACGAACGCGGAGCGGCCCACTGGCGTACTTCGGCGTCTTGTCCTTGTCCTCCTTCTTGTCCTTGTCCTTCGCCTGCTTCTTCGCCTCCGCCCGGACCTTACCGTCCCCAATCGCGGCCACGTCCTTCCCGGACGCGGACGAGGTCAAGGTCACTACACGTTGCGCCGTGGACGCGGACGAGCGCGCCCGCTCAGTCTTGGAAGAGCTGACCGCGGCGCCGACGAACGGCAGCTGGAAGCTCCCGCCATTCGACGACGACGAACACGGGCCGAGCGTCTCGCCTTCAACTTCAGCATGCTTGCGCTTGGTGCCTGCCGCGGCGGCACTCCCACCGCTGCTCCGCGCAGCCTCAGCCTTGCGTTTCATCATCTCGACGATCCTGACGGCCTCACTCCTGCCGTTGTCCGCACGGGTGCCCTCGACGCCCGAACGGCACGACCCAAGCTCCTTGAGGACGTCGAGCGCGCACGATACGCTCTTCATGCCCTCCAGCGCGACGATGCTCGCGGGCTCCTGAATGACTGCATGAGCGCAGACAACGGCGGCGTCGAACAAGGTCCGACCAAAGTCGTAGAAGTCGAAGATCGCGGGGCGCGTCTGACCCCAGACGCTGTGTAGCATGCGCGAGGCGTATATGATATTATGCGCGGCACTGATGGTACCGAAGACAGCCTGGTGTGATGGCTTCTGCGTCGCAGCAGCCTCCTTGAGGAAGGGAAGATAGAGCTTGACGATGAGACGGTTCGCCGTTATCGAGAGCTCGCACTTCTGGGCCATCCGGATGGGAGATGTCGGTCCAGACGAGGGGAGAGGAGGGATGGGCTTGGAGATGTCTTGCGTCATCTCGAGCTTGAAGCCAGTAGGGAGATCCTGAAGGAAGGAGCTGACCTCACCCTCAAACGAGCTTGCGTGATCGATCGACAGCTCTGCCGCATCATCGTTGGCACCAATGGGGTCGCGGAACGTCTGCTTCTTGACGTTCTTGACGAGCTGCGCTAAACGGAGCTTCAAGCCGAAGTAGACAGACGACAAATCGCCATTTGTGCCCTCGGGATGAGGAAGTGACATGCATGATGGAGTGAACTTGTCTTCCTCCACATCAGCAGGCAGGCGAGTTGTGTGCGTGTTGTCAGCGATCAACGGTGGATGGCCCATAGCATCGGCGACGAATCTGCACGATGCGCTTGAGTACAGCAACACACATGGCGTACGCTGGACTCACAGATCATAGTAGTAGACCTCCCACCAAACCCTCCTCCGGGTCTCGGCCTCGAAGAGGTTGTACGTCCCCGGGAACTCGTCCGGGTCCATCGCCAGCCCCATCATCCGTGCGACGTTGACCATCTTGCCCACCTTGACATCGTGACACAGGCACACATTAGCCCCCTAACCACGCAACGCGGTCCTGACACGACCGGACACACCGACTCACCAATGGGAAAACACTCTGCGCAACGCTCATCCCACCCTCGTGCAGCATGTACAGCACCTGGAGGATCATCGCGATGACCGAGTCGAGGTCGTAAGCCGCCGTCTTCTCGAACAGCTGGAGCGCCTGCTCCGAGAGCGCGAAAAGCATCGCTGGAGTTCCGCTGGTCTCGCTCCCGGATTCCGGAGATGATGCCGAAGGAGGCAGCGCAGGGTCCGGCGAAGGATCCTCGTCGCGGGAAACGAGTGAGCCAAGCGCGAACGCAGAGCACGCCGCCGAGAAGAAGCTGAGCGTGGGCTTGGGCGCGTTTGAGTTTTGTCCTAAGCTCGGTGGTCCTCCTGCCGGTGCCGCCGCTGAACGAGCAACACTGCCAGGCTTGGCGTTCGAAAAGAAGATTTCGCGAGCCAGATCTTGTTTCGACATGGGCGGCTTACCGTACGCGGGTACCGCACAGGCTGCGCTGTCGCCGTTCTCCGCCCAAGTAAAGATGGCGGCTAGACGATGTTCAAAATGTGGCACATTGAAAGAAGGATGGAGGAGCATCGTCTCGCGGAAGGCCTTGAGATAGCGCGAGCGTACAGGTTCGGCAGGAAGATGCGAAACCAAGGCAGCCGTTACCTGGGGTAGCGCAGAAGGACCAGCCGAGGGTGGTGGAAGGAATGCATCGTAAGGAGCCGGAGGATGGAGGACACTATATCCTCCAACGGGTATATGCGAACCGTTCCCTGGAGAGAATGAGGTAGATGGTGCGGGTGGGAGAGTGACGGGTGCTGGCTCTAGCTTCACCGTGATCGTAGATGACGAGGGGCGCGTCGGCGAGGTGGCATCCGATCCAGATATCCGGGCAAGTTTTGTGTCGAGACCAAAGTCATCTAGCTCGCTGAGCCAGAGGCTGACCACATCCTCCAGGTTAATGACCAAGGAACTGCCTGAGGCGCTTTGCGCTAGCAGAGCACGGTCATTGTACGGTAGGCCGGCAAGAAGGGTAGATGTTGAGGCTACAATAGAGGGACCAACTCTGCTTGGTCCAGCGACAGCCACCGCACATTGTTTCAACGCCGGAAGCCCTGGGAGGGCTGTAGAGACGGACGTCGAAGGGGCAGCTTGAAGCTGCGCGAGAACGCGTTCGATCTCGATGATACGGTTGTGGAGGGTTTGAACATCGCTGCAAGGACATTGAAGACCGAGACATGGAGAAAAAGAGGGAACCAGACATACACTTTCTCGGCAGCGGCTTGGGAGTATACGCACCGCTGAACGGTGTCGCGCTTGAGACATGAACTGCACGGAGTTCGACGATCGCACTTGAGCTTCAGTCGCTTGCACTAGAGGCACCGGTCAGTAACTAAGCTTAACATGGTTGAATTCTCAGAGTCGAGGAAGCGGAGGCTGGCTATGCTCGTTTACCGTGTCCCTATGTGCCGACGACCTACGCTCCCTGAGAATGCCGCGACCGCTTCCGTGCGATTGTAGCAAACCAAGATAGAACGGGATGCAAAACGCTCACCTCAGCGCAAACCACAGTGATACGAGAGCGGATATGCCTGCAAGAACGTTATAGATCACCGCGGGTGGAAGGACCGAGTACGCACGGTCCGTTGGAGAACTTCTGTCCAGAGGACGAAGACTGGGACGCTGCAGCGCCGCCTGCAGATTGCTCCATCCCATGTGCGTTTGAGTTGTGTATGGCTGAAGAAGACGCGACGCCGGAAGGCGTATACTGCATCGCGCCCGCTGGCGTGAGGGGGACATCGCTATCGAGCCCCGGTGTGCTCTCCATCGCTCGTCCGATGTTGTTTATGAAACGCCCAGCGAAGGATAGTGTGTTGTGTAACTCGGCAAGAAAGTCGCGGAGAAGAAGGGCGGACAGCAGGCGAAGGGGTAAGCGAGAGGATGGAAGAGGAGAAGAAGAGGGACTGAGAGGAAGGACGAAGGCGGCGCGGGAATTCGCTCCCGTCCCGCCCAGCCATCTCGTAGCCGATCACTTCGCGGACCCCCTGGCACCCCCTCCGGTCAATCCCCCCGCGGCCTCGCCGGTATTCTCACCCATGACATGATCCCGCTATTGCGCCCCTGCGTCCCTCGCCCCCATAATGAACCCCATTCCCGCACAACAACCTCAATTGCAAGGCTCCATGTCGATAGCACCATGTACGAACCAACTTTGAGCGCGCAATCTCCACACCGTGCACAACCTCGATGCCCGCACGACTCATTTCGGCTTCCGGCAGCCTGTATATTGTACGTACGAAATGCCGTCATGAATAAAGATTTATGGACGTCTCACAGGACAGGACGCCGCTAGTAGCCGTTCGGGACGCCCGCATGAAGACTAAGCTCGGGTCTTCACCACTTCAGGCAAGTACAAATCACCCCTAGCATTCTTACTTACCAAACCGTCTTTGACAAGCCCCCCGGATCGGCATGCCACCCTCGATCGTTCACGAGTATTTCGCTGTGCGCCGTCCGCCTGCTGCCTCCGCTAGTCGCGACGCAGAGACAACGGTTGTCCGTCCTTGCCTGTGCATCCCTCGCGTCCACCTGACGGTGACCATGTTATCGGCTTGGCCTAGTCACTGAGACTATGCGGCTCTGAGAGAAGGGAGCAACTCGGCGCGACTATTCTGATTATGGTGAGTTCCCGTCGGGTGAGTCAGACTGGAAATGAACACCCTGCCCCGGGCTCGCAGCATTGCGACGTGGAACGACCGAGCTGCAAGTGTGAGTACCTGCTGAAGCTGTTCGCTGCCATTCTCATTGAGTTTCGTGGACCATTGCTAGAATTGCGGGAACATAAGACTGAACCAACGCAAATCGTACCGAGCTCTGCAACCACCCAAGTCTTCAGCCACATAGGGGTAGTGTTTCACCTGCGCTCACTATGCTAACCTTTACAGGAGTACAGCCACAATTTGGTCGACACGCTATCTCGGCTTCATTCCAGTGGCGCGCCGATCGAGCCTCGCACAACGCTGCAAGGCATTGACGATCTTGCTAACAGTACTCACATTTGACTAGATTGACCACGTGCTGCGCGACATACGACGCCGCGGAACCTACCTTTGACACTTGATCCGTCCAGCTGACGATTGAGACAGAAGAGGTCCAAGTAGATTACTTATTGAAATCGCTCAATTCCTTCACTAGAGCATATTCAGTAAAGTCGCGTATGTTTGACGTCTTCATGCCAGCACTCAGAGCACATCAACACAAGACAATGCTGACACGTATGACCTCTCGTGCCTACTCATACTTTGGCAGCATTCCTGAGGATAGCGCGGCCTGCGGAGAAGCCGACAATGAGATCAGCTGTCACAACGTGGGCTCCATCACGTCTCTTATCGCTTGAATCTTGTACTTCCTTACGGAATACCACGGACACCGGGGCCCCCAACCGGACTGAATGCAACAGCAACCCTAGCTCATCGATTCTTGGTTGCTTTGTGTCTGACGGGCTTCTGTCGACAAAATTGGACCGCTGGGCCTTGTGGCGTCCGCCAAGGCCACGGGGCTACCCAACTACAGCAGAAGGCCATCGCATGCACGTTCGCCAACGCAACCTGGGTCATGCACCCACGCGCGTCGAGCGTCGCAGCCGGATTTCTTCTCTCACACTCTTCATATCGCATCAGTGGACGCTAACGGACTCTAGAGCGGTCCGAATTCTCACTTCGCGCAGTGACGTGCAATAGGGATGTTGGATCAGGTACGCACTCCCACTCCCCTCCGACCCCTGCAAAGCCCACTTGGTCGACACACGTACACCGCAACGCCTAAAATATCCTTGAAGAAAAGTACCGCATGCTTGCCGCGCGGTCCCTTGACGCGATAGCTCCACGATGGACAGCGCACGGGAACAACTTACGGACTCTGGAACGTCATCCTGGCCAGCTCGATGATCCCGTCGCCCAGCTCAGGACGACCGCGACCCCGCAAGGTACACTGCACCCGATATGATAGACTCGGTTTCCCATCTCAACCCCTTCGTCAATTGACAGCGAACACCAGGACCCCGAATCGCCCTCCCGCGTACCTCCCTTCTCACTGCCCCAACGCTCTGTCCTTACCGCCTTCTCGCCGCAGAGAACCGGCCGCCCGTTAGGCATCTAGGAAGAGGAAGACCACACTAGACGCTCCAGGGCCGCCGGCATTTCCTTGCGGGACCCTCCTTCCGTTACAGGCTCTCTGCGACTTCCGAGACCTGCGACTTTCGGAGGGGCTGCCGTCACCGCGTTCTCACACCAGTTCTAGTGGGATTGACAGTCTCGCCGTCAGCTTGGACGCTGTTCGGTGTCTTGCTGGCGCCGCGACATACGTGTCTCTTCCCTGACTTGGCTCTTCTGCGGCGACGACCTCCCAGACTTCCCTTGTTTGGCTTCTTACACTGCTCGGGAGTTGATAAGGACACTTTCCCTTCCCCGACATGTTAGGCCTTGCACTCCTCTGAGGGCCCAGCGTCGCTCTACTTCGCAGCGTCTGTGCGGCAAAGCACGGCACCTACGAGGGCATAGCGGGGCTGCGTATTATTTTCGCACATAGGCATGTGGTTCGAGGCGCAATACGACCCCTCTTGGGAAAATGCACCCACATGCGACCACACCGAATGGCACCAATTGTCCTCGAGCCTGGAACGAGCCCCTACCGCAACCCTTCTAGCCATCCTGAAACACGAACTTTGCTACATGGATGTGTCTAGGTGTCGATGCAGGAAAAACACCGGGGTTTGATTTCTCAGGTCCTCGATCGCCCCCTGTACGTACACATACCAAGGATAAGATCAGCTGGGCGCAGCACCTGCCATGAAGTCACATAGGTGAGAAGGCCGCTCGAAGCTCGAAGTTGTGTAGCATCACAGCCTCACTACATATCACAGAATATCAAACGCAGAATGCCCCTATATCTTGCAACGTCGTGCCACGCGGCATTCTAACAAGTCCCGCGCGATGCAGACCTCAAGCTTTCCAGCGTCTCATCTCGGCATTCATACATGCCACGTTACCGACCTTCGCAGCAGCAGCGCGCTGGACGCATATGGCGCGGAGGCGACTTCGGTATCGGCACGAGGGGCATCGACGCGTCTCATCGTCCCGATCTGCCTGTTGCCGCGGGGCTTCCTCGAACTCTACCTCGCTCCAGCCAATCCGAACTGGAGCTTCTCCCGTCATATGTCCACGCATGCGCCCTACCCCGCAGTGCTCTTGCGTGCGTCGGGCGGCGAGCGAAGCGGGCTGGGCCGTATAGCAGGGTCCGGGGCAGAATACATACATGCTCGCGAACTTACGACTCCCTGTGGTCATCTTAGCCACCGGCCATCATACTTTCCATGACACGACAATCTAACGATTCCGTGAGGAGGCGATAGCAGGTACTTCCCCGGGATGCCGGGGCATTTTGGCGACTACCGCAGCTTCATGATCCCGGATAGCTTGGAGCATGGGCCGAGAGGACGCTGAATCTGTCCCGACTTCCCACCGCGCCCACGCACCCGTCGCGATGAGTGCCGTGAATGATTAATGCCGTGGGCTTGCGGCGCAGTGCTGCGATAATTAGTGGCTGTCGAATGAAGTGGGCCCCATTCGGAGTGCAAAAGACGGTGCGTATGTTTTGTTTCCGAGGTACCGAGGAAAGGTTGTGAATATACACGCAGTGTTTCAGCGAGATGAGTCAAAGTGGGACCATACCGTACCTCAGAACTCCGAAATACCCGCGCAGCCCTCTCTATTGAGCCGGGAATTCTCATGTACGGTGCATCCTCGATGGCCCATTACCCAGAGGGCGCGGCTGCGACGCTGAGCTTCGGCAGTCTCGTTTGGCCCGAGCCCTATCTGATGTATATCGGGCCCCGCAAGAATCCGAAGAGGTAGCCGGGACAGTCTCGTGAGGACAGGTATCGTTGCGATGCGCGTGTGCAGCCAGCAAGTGTTCTGCCGATCCGAGACAGGTTCGTCGTAGGTTGTTTGACATGTCATCGGTATTGGAAGGCACAGAACAATGCTACGCCCATTGACTCACCAATCTCGAAAAGGCAAGCATCCGAACAACCGGGTACATTCCACCGCGAGTTCGGTGCGGGGTCCCGTGCAAACTTCCAACGCCCGGGCATCCCTGACGTCCCCAAGACGCCGCTCATGTGAACGCAGCTGCAGGGTCCGTATGTTAAGGAAAGCTTCGCTCTGTCAAGAATGCTGACTAGCTCCAGCCAGAATACGCCCGGCTATGACCAGACCCTGAGGGTGGTTCTGCTCGCATCACCTGTGGCGAGGTAAGTCAATGATGTATGGGCGCATAACCTGAGTCACCTCACCCACAGTCGCCTACAGGACGTTCAGCGAAGGGTATCCCCACTGCGCGACGATCGCGAGCACCAGAGGTCCTACTCTTCCCTCGGCACGCCCGTCACTGGCATGACAGACTGCGTGGGCAGTACGGGTGTCCCTCACTTAGGGGAAAACCGTCGACGTTGGCCGCCGTGGAGAAGTCAACAGTGTTGAGCCCCTAGTCCCAGTTGCGCTGATGGTGCGGCAGCCTTGTGACAGCATGACTTTTGATAGTGTTTTGATGTTACGGCATGTCAAGCAGTGGATGGGTCCTATCATTATTGCCTGCGCCTAACAAATCATAATTGACCATACGAACGACGGCGTAGCGCGTATGTGACATCGTCGGTGCCACGGGAATTGTCAGGGGGCTAGTGCTTCACGGGGAGGCGCAGTTTCGGCAATCCTGGCGCTGTAGACAATTGCAAGTTGTCTAAGAGGCCGAGTGCTGTGCTGTGCTGCCGAGGTTGGTGGGCGATGCGGACACACGACGCAGTGCGAGGCTACATATCATCGATACGCCTCCTGTGTCAGCGCTGCGGGAGTCCTTTGCGGAACACAAGTCCGTCCCTGGCAGATGTATAATATACAAGAAGTTGAGCAATCATAATCATACCGTATCACCGGGTGGTGCATCGCAAGAGGATCTAGCCTTCGCGTTCTTGTCGCCGCAAGCCTTCCAGCGAGCCCATACGTTTCTTCAGCGAGCTCCAATTGAGCTCCGCGTACCTAGCGCCAGCATACACAGGTACGCTGGTCACAAAGCCGAGTAACATCCCAAGGTCGCCGGTCCCTTGCCGCGCTACCGGGCCCGTCCACCACTGTTGCTGCATACACAGCACGATGAACGCTATAGACACCGCAAAGGCGCACAGCGCGGGGTACGGCGTAGGCAGGTTCGGGTGGCGCGGGTTGTCCCAGGCGCTAGGGACGTTGTACGCTGCGAACGTACGTCGGATTAGGAAGTGTTCCGTGAGGACGACGGCGCAGAAGGGCGCGATCCAATACCCAATAAGCGCTACGAGATCGCAGGAGCATTTCGTTAGCAGGTAGCAAGCGACGACGAATTGGGGAACGGACCCAGGATTGTCTCGAATGTCTCGTAGAAACGTCCAGCGCCGACTATGGCGACCGGGATCAAGCTGATTCAACGCAACGCAACGAAGTGGCTCAGCACTTTGCAAGAAATCTTCATTTCGGGACAGGTACGAGACTCACATTGCCGTAGAGATCACTGCGACCACGAAACGTGGCAGCCTCGCAAATGCACGATGTATGGTCATGAAACTCGTGCACGCCGTGTACATCGACGGCGCACAGGCGCTGGGCGCGGTCAGGCTGAGCCAAACGAGCAGGAACTTGCCGAACTTTCCTGTCGGTGCAAGGACCGCTGCAATCAGGCCGCCCACGTCGTTACCATCGCCTAGTCCCGAGCTCCATGCGGGTACGGATTGCGAGGCTGCTGCGAATGCCGCTCCGAGCATGTGCGCGGGCAGCTAAGGAGGATACCAACTGTCAGCGCTAGAGATACTACACGAATATTAGAAACGAACGCTGGAAATGATGAAGCCCAGGTAAGCGTAGAAAAATAGCCGCCATGTCGAGGCTTTCCTGTCATGATACACCCCGTAGTCCGGGGTCAGTGTCGACCAGCTCACGACCGTGGCGGCTAGGGATGCACCAAACGTCATTAGAGTCGCTGCGGAAGCAGGTGTGACACTTGTCAATGGAGCTTCCCGCAGTTGCATACCCCCAGCAGCGAGCATCACGACAAAGGCGACGATGTTGGGAATCCAGATGAGCAGCGCATACCTATTGCTCGCCGTGAGTGACTACGCGAGCTCATGACGAATGCTATGGTACTGACCAGTGCAGCACTTTGCAGCCGCAAAACGTGATCTGGCCATAATGCCTTTCAGACTTCGCTGAATGTGTGACCAACTGACAAGCGTACTATGAGGGATATGAGGGCGATGACTATGATGCCCAGAGTTGCGTCCAGGTGATCTGACACCTCCGCAAGGGTCTGACCGCCGATGATGGTGTTCACGATCAGGTAACCCTGCATCGACAGCACGTTGAGTATACTTGGGATGATAGCGCCGTAGTAACTGCAGATTGAAGGGATGTTAAGCTTGCGTGTGCTACCAAGCAGGAAGCGTCACGTACCCCCACGAGAACCGAGCCTGCACCATCGACCGTGTGCCAAGCTTGGGGCCGAATGTCGCACTAGTGTTCTTGTTCAGCAAATACGGCGCGCTCAATGTAGAGCAAACACCACTGACAACATCGCCGGGAATGGGCAAGTACTGATGCTCGATCAGCTAGTGAGGTATATAGAAAAAGAGAACATCAAGCTCACAGAACGTCGACGACGACAATTACGAAGAACGAATCAAGGATGCCCAGATTAAAAAATGCTGGGCCGACTGTTCCCGCACTTAATCTATCGGATCCGGAACCCGACGTTTGAGCGGCCTCCAGTGAGCATATATCTTAACCACGTACGTCAAGATATTTGCGTTCGCCGAGAACCAGACGAAGAAAAACTGATATAGCTTTCGGTCCGTCCTCTGGTCTTCCGGAATCGGCGTGATGCTGCGTAGCACTCAGCTCATTCCAACCCTACGACCATTTCAAACGTACTTCAAGCAACTCACCCATTAACCTCCAGTCCCCAACGAGCCAGCTGCACTGTCAGGCGATGCAACAGCCTCCCGACCTTCGTCTTCGCTTCTTGAACCACACTTTCCTCCTCTACGACGAGGACGTTGTCCGGAAGGTTCTCCTTCGACTCGCGCGAGCGAGCCGAGGCGTTGCTGGAAGGTGGGTACTTCTCCTTCTCCGACGTCGGCTCGATATCGTCAAAAATCAGCATGCTGCCTGAGTTCGTCTGGCGGACTGTGAAGATGAGGGTCAGACGTGACAGTAGCCTAGTGAAGTTTCCTGCGCAGTCAGAAACGACGAGGAGCGACACCAAGCACGACGGGAGACGACAAGAGGCGCGGAGAGGGACAAGCACTCGGACAGTCGTCTCTGGCTCCCGCGGTCTGCCAAAGCCAAGTGAGAATGAGAGGAGCCGGTGCGGGGATGGGAAAGCTTGGGCCGGTACTACTTAGGGCAGCGAGAGAGCGGCCGATAAGGAGGGGCACATGCAAGCTAGAGTAGACAGATAACGTGGAGTGTGTAAGTGACTGGGAGGGTTCGCGCATATAGGGAGGCCAAGCTTGCTTAGTAGGGCAAGGAAGCTTTTGCGCGGTGAGCGGAAATAGCATCGTCCTAGGCAAAGCCACACTGGAAGGGGGCTACCGTCTGGGACCTCGAAGAGCGTGGCATGGTCTAGCCGGACAAGGGCACGCTGTGGGTTCTAATCCTTCCGAGTGGGAAAACGGAAAGTCAAGAACACGTGGATTGCGAAGAGAGTTAGCACCGAGTGAGAACGAGTGGATAAAGAGCGGAAAGTGCAGGGACGCGAAGGACTTGACGTCGCTGTATCGGACAGCAGAGCGTTTCTAAAACTCGAAACAGACAGAGCACGATCAGAAAGCCCTCGGATAGAACATTATATAATACAATACGGAGGTTACCCTACTCCCTCTGGATCAGCGCCAAGAGTCCAAGACCTCCTAGCAGCGCGTATTTCAGCTGCGGAAAGTCGTTCTGTAGACAATTTGTTCAGTTACGGAAGCCTTAGAGTAACTCTCGAGCACTGACCATAGCGATAGTGACGTAGCCGACGTATGGCAAGAACCTAATGAATGACAACAGTATTAGGTTCTACTCCAACATGGAGTGTAGATAAACCCACCCTCTGACTTTCCCAACGATGTGTTTTCGCTCAAGCCACTCCAGGCCCTGGTACAGCTCGATGTCGTCTATATGGTTGTTGTCGCCCTTCGTCAACAACAGTTGCTGCTGTGCCAGAGGAGCCGCCGCAACGACCCTGTTGCACGCCAACGACGCACATATAAGCACACATATAGTCCGTCTCGACAGGCATAACGCACGCACCCCCTCCTGTCCGAAACGATATCGTGCGTCTCCAAGACTCGATGCACGATGGGGATGTCCGCTCCAGGAACCTTGTACACCGTGATGTCGCCCGTCTGGTACCGCTGGTTCGACGGGTTGGTCAAGAAGAGGAGGTCCCCGCGGTAGAACGCGGGCTCCATCGAGCCACTAGAAGCAGCGCCCCGCGTCGCGTCTCGCGTCAGGTATTCTCGCGCATACCCCACCCCCGGACTGAGCGAGAAGAGAGACGCACCTGAGCACAACAACAATCGGGGACTCAGTGTTCGTAATCAGCCCCAGGGCCTTCCAGATCATAAGGCCGGAGGAGAGGACCGACACGAAGTTGAGGACCTGCAAGAGCACCTAGAAACAAGACACGGTGCGTCGCCTTAGCCCTCAATTCCGCGAGTTCGCAGGCCATTTGGACCACTGAGAATACGAACATGGCGGAACCCAAGCCTCCGAAGCGTCTTGAGCTCGTCGGCGAACATGGTGGGGAGGAGGAAAGGAATGTCTGGGGCGACACACGTGGCGCGGGCTGTCCTCAACACCCGCGGACACGTTCGCAGGCGCCCTCGCCCTCCCGATCGCGCGTCTCGCGCCCGCGTCGTGGCGTTGCCCCATGCGCGCCTACGCCTCCCATCATCACTCACGACGCAGCGCTCAGCAATCGGACAGGGCACATCACTGCGGCTTGTTTGCAAGCCTTCAGACAAGGGAAGACAGCGGATATGAAACAGTGTATGCATTAGAGTTCACTTCTTTTCGGTCTCAGCCTAATCCTACACACGTCTCAGATCCTACAGACTAACACGGCGGTCGACATTGACTGACTCCAAGGGAAATGCATAATGTTACGCCATAAAACCCAAATTTCGGGGGAAAAGGCTGACTACTTGCACGATACCAGGAAGCCGAAGGAGAAGGAACACGAAAGAAAGGAAGAAGGTATCCTATACCTGGCGATAGAACGTGTGTGGTGCGCATATACACGGCTCGACTGTCCGCCGTCCGCATCAGTCCCTCATACCGAGCAGCGACCCAGGCGTAACGACTTCCATCGACCTCTGCTGCTGAGCAGCAGGGAACGCGCGGTCTTTCGCCATCGGCACTTCCTCCCTCGGGGTCATGGGCATCATCGCGCTCCTGGGGAGCGACGAGACTGACGAGCCCCCACCGGACGTCGAACTGATCGAGGACGAACGCGGCTTCACGCTCATCTGCAAGAGCAGTGACGCGGCGGTCTCGTCCTCGGGCGTCCAAGTGGGGGACACCGTGGGCGAGGCCGAGACAGACTTCCGGTGCTGCTGCCGAGCGGTCGTCGAGCTCCCACTTGCCTGCTGCTGCGGAGGGAACGGATGCGCGGGGGCAGGGAGGGCGAGCGAAGGCATGTTCGCGAGGGTGATTGCAGGCAGGAAGCGACCCGAGGGTGGGGGCGAGGGCAGCTGGGCGTTCGCAGGCGACCGCGCAGGCACGGCGTTGGACGACTTCGAGATGAGGGTGCTCGGGTCGTACGGGTGAGACAGCCACGAGGAGATCGGAGGAAGGCGTGGCGAGGCATTTGACTCAGCAGCCGCCGCGTTGGGAACAGCGAAAGGCATCGGCGAAGGCTGCTCTTCCTCGGCGGCGCCAAGCCCGTGTTCGTCGTCGCCGGTGTACGAATCTTCCTCCTCGTGCCTCTGGTAAGAGCGCCTGGTGAGATGTGGGGACACGTCTACCATCGCCTCATCCTCGTCAGCGCGCTTACGTTTCGGGGATGGGGGCAAGGATGTGTCCTCGCGATTATCGCCTCGAGTGCGACACTGCGAGCACATCCTCGCTTCGAGCGCCTGTACGCGGGCAACGAGGTCTTGCATGTACTCGACCGTCTTCACAAGTACGTCCAGCTTGAACTCTTTCTCCTCAGTCTTACCCTTGGCCTTCTTCCCGTTTTCCTCCGCAGGGACTTCGACAACCGCTTCAGGCCTCTGAGAAGCGAGGACTCGGCCACGCTCGTTGACGAACGTGCTCAGGGTAGCGAGCGTCTCGTTGATCTTGGTGCGACGGGCTTTCTCGATCCGCGAGTGGTTTAGCTTCCGGAGCGACTCGCGGGCAGAGCGAGACATGGTTCCTGGCTTGCGACCGCGACGTTTGGGGGCGGGTGCGGCGTCTCGGCCTGGGTCGTAGTCGTCTTCTTCGTCGGACCCCGAGTCCAAGTTAGGCGACGCTGGGTCAGCGTAGCCGCGGCCAGTCGCGGGCTGCTTGGGCAAAATAGGTGGACGTGCAGGCGCACGGCGTTGTTGAAAAGGGGCAACGCTGGAGGTCGGAGAAGCAGCAGCAGCTTGCGACTGTCCCTCTCCACCGACGAGCGACCCCGTGCGCTGACGCTTCGCGCGGCGCGGGGGGTTGCAACTTGCGGCGTATACTAACGGGGTTTCCTTCGGTGCAGACGACATGGTCTTGCGATGTCGCTCCCAGGGACACAGAGCTGGGAGGGAGCGGGACGAGAAGAAGCGGGGCACACGAGCAAACGGGCGCGGCACCCTAGTCGCAATATATAAGTCTAATCATCGGCCGCTTGGACGGGGACCCTCTCGGGGCTCGGAAGGAGGCCATCGCGCGCATCCGCCGAGATCTGCCCCTGCGAACGACAACGGTCTCGACAAATGGTCGTGTGCGGTCGTGTGCCTCAGAAACGTGCGCGTCGCACGACCATCCCTGCGCCTCCTGATTGGCCGCCCCCGCATGCACGTGTAGCAGCCTGCCGCAATCGGAAGGTAGCGTCGCTCGCAACCTGTCCTACTCCGCCACCACCATCGCCCCTCTGGCCTATCTCGTCTGCAAGGATGACTGCACGAAATCATGCATCATCTTCGCACCATCGATGTGTTAGCATGCTGGATGTCGACTGATCCGACGGTGACTTCCTCCCGAGCAGTTGCCAGCTCGCGCCGTGCCCGACTTCCCGCCATGCACAGCGGCCTCCCAAGCAAGTGTCGTGTGCCCTCTCGCGAAATCCGCGCGGTATTCAGGACATGCTCAAATGTCAGCGCTAAGCCACGGCCCCGCGCCACATGCCTCAAGCTTCGTGCAGTGTCGAAGGCCGCCTCTAACGCCCTACAACAAACGTGGGGCGAAGCCCGCCTCCACAGATAGCGGCTGAGAGCAGGCGGGCGCAAAATAGGCCTAGTAGTGCCGAGCTTAGAAGGTCTGCTGAGTGTGCTTGACAATGACGCCTGGGCGCGCAGGTACGTTCCCTCTCCATTCGTATCTACGACGTTGAACTTAAACGCCTCAGAACCATTCCCGAAGCTGTCCTGGCTTACGAATCGGGCTTTGTCTGAGGCGCAAGCGAGGTCCCATGGTCTGGCCTACCAGGGAAATAGGTAGATAAGAGCGACGAACGTGTACGAGGAATGCAGAAGACGAGGGAGCTAGTCATGGGAGACGGAGGCTCGCGGCACTTTAGGTGAGTCATTGAACAGGCTGAGCGATAACTCGGCGCTCAGAATTATCGTCCAAGGCAATGCCGCTGACCGCGACGAAGTCCTCCGTTGCCGACAAGCTTTCCTCCACACAACCCTCGGCCATCGACCTTGTGGTCGATACCGCTTCAACTGTAAGTCTTGAGCCATGGGGTCTAGGCCCTAGGGTGCATGCACCCTGGGATCTGAGGAACTCTCAGCTTGTCTTCTGCTCGTCTAAATAGAATCTGTCTTCCCTTTCACCGGGTTCCCCTTCGCTGCTGTGAATGTTAATTACAAGGCCCAGAGCTCTCCAGGGATGACAACTATCAAATGTCATCATACGCCATACGGGCGTCCACGTCCACAAGGGCTTCTCTCGCTCCAGATGAATGCCGGACCCTCCTTTGTCAGGTCACCTACCCTGAGCGTCCGCGTTCATTACAAGCATCCGCAGCATAGGGCTAGACAGGTGACGGCCACTGCCCCTGACCCTCCTGCGTCGCGACAGGATGATAGCCTGCCCTTCGATTTCTGATTCCTCTCTACGCCGTCTCATACAACGGAAATAGAGCACGCCCTGCGACCCGTCGTGCCCAACTTAATTTCTGACGCCAATGCCAGTCTTGTCCCTCCGGACGGCGTCGTCTGTGTTCTACTTCCTCTTTCCTCCGGCTCCTTTCGCTAATAAGCATCACCCTCGTCGGACGACCTCTTAACGCCTTTCTTAGGCGTGTACATAGCTCAAGGCCATCGAGCCCGTCTCCTACTGTATTTGCGAGACTGCTCAAGAATGCCCCGTCCCCCCCTGATGAGCGGCTGGCGGTGGTAGATGTGAGTGTGAAGTGATAGCACCAATCCCAGCCATGAACCGTGGCACATCGTTGCTGGGCCCGCAGCAACTAGCAGTACGTCTGTCTTCGGCTGAACTGGTGAGGCAAACATTGATTCCTGTTCGAGGTGGTGGATTATTCCGGCCCTCACGCTGCATGCTCTCCTCAATGTAACAGAACCCCGCTCGCTCGCACTCGGCGAGGTTCACGCTCTCGTCTTCTGCTGAGCCTGAGTTGCCGAACAGTCCCAGGATGATCGACTGCAGCAGAGGAGGTCTCGCAGTTTTGTACTGTCGATGTCGACACTGGAGTGCGGCCCGTGGCAGACACGCCATCTCATTCCACTCGAACGAGTTCTGACACCCGCTGTGCCTTTTAAGTACTGTTCCCCTCGCCCATCGCGCAGGACTTTCCCTCACGCAAGGAAAAACGTGGTTGCAGGGTTAAGCTGTACTCCTAGAGTCCTACCCGGACCTACACGGCTCTGACTTTAAGGAGCATTTCCGGCTTCTCGCTCTGGAGGCCCATGGTTGGGAAGGATACGGCGGCGGAATTCCACACGATCTCCTTGTCCGTCAATTCAAACTCGAATGCGGCAAGGAGGGCGGACAGGACAACCTCTGGTGGCACAGAAAGCGCGGGGGCGTCAGTTGGTCACGATCGGCTTTCGGGGGAGGCACTACACGTACTCATCTCTAGCTGCGAGAACTTGAAGCCGATGCACGATCTTGAGCCCCCAGAGAAAGACATGCTACCGGACGCGACGTCGGCCGGTGTACATCCGGTCAGGAAGGGGTGAAGGCTCACATGTTCGAATACACCGCGGGAAGACGGGCTTCGTCCAGAGCCGCAGGCAAAGGGCTCAGCCAGCGCTCCGGCCTCCACTCATGCGCATCCTCGCTCCATAGCTCCTTGTTGTAGTTGCTACCCTGAAGATCGAGGATGATAGCTGTGCCTTTGGGTACCGGCACCGCATCCAACATGCGGCCGTTCTTGTCACGTACAGGTTTGAACAGTGGAAGCATCACGTCCTTCGCCGCGCTAGTGACCATGACATTTGTCAGTATGTCGGAACCAAGGTGACGAGAGCCAACACCCCGAGTCAACAACGTACTGGCAAACGAGGCGGCCGACAGGAGCGTATAGGTGCAGAGTCTCGCGGCACACTGCATCCAGGTACGGAAGCTTGACTAGATCGTCGTAGTCGATCGTAGACTCTCCGTTTCGGGCGTCGAGAATCTCCGAGCGAAGCTTAGTCTGCGTATCCGGATTCTGCGCGAGGAGTTCGAGGGTGCGCGAAAGGGCATTAGACGTAGTGTCCATGCCCGCGAGCATGAGGACCCTGGTGTAATTGCGTTGGAACCGTAAGGAAGACATTGGTACATGATAGGCACTCACGACATCTGGGCTATAACCTCTTCGTCAGTGAGCTTCTCCGTATCCATTGCAGTCATATTGGCCTTAACTGGATAGGGATAATTTCTCAGGTTGGGAGATCTACAAGGGGCCTAACGACGGTCCGGGCACTCACGCAGAATGCTCATGATGTCCTTTCCTTCTCCTACCTGATGAGCTAGGGCCTCGTCGCCTTTCCTCAATGCATCCTTCTTCCCGTCGATGATTTATTGCGATCGGCGCATCATTGTATCTGAGATGTTCGTCATACGCCTGGCATTGGGTTGTTCGAGCTTGATACAGGTATATATTGTCCACTCTGCGATAGACGTCGACGCCGTGGACCATCGGAACTGCATATCGGGTGAGTATATGCGTCGAAACATTGTCTTAATTTTTCTCTTAAACTAACGGAGATTTTTCTGGTGTCCGTGGGGTATCGCGGCTGTCGCGCCGCGGGCTAGAGGACGTCTGCGGGCCTTGAACACTATATACAAACCGGTGGGCACATATATGCATCACAAACATTCATATAGCTCACCGCGTTCGACCTCTTTCTTCTTCCCCCCCTGCCCTTGGTCCATCACGGACACTGCGCTGTGCAAAAAATGGCTGCCCTTGCGGCGAAGGCATGCCTGTCTGGATCGCCTGTGGGGTAGCCGCCTGGTGAGCGCTAGTCCCCGCCGTGCCGCCTTCGTTGGTGCTGATATTTCCCAAAAGTGCTTGCCTCACATATAGAGGGTATTCCGACCAGCTGCTTCTGATGCGTGGGTCGCTAATATATGCAGGGCAGACGTCCATGTTGATGAGATCCAGGCGGTGGCGAGCGGTGGGCGGCTGAGTGCGCGCAACGCGATGCGCGGTGGCGTGCTGGCCCGCGAGCGCGTTCTTTGGCGCTGTTTGTACCCGATATAGCCCATAATACCCATAACCTTCTATATTATT